GGCCGGTCCCCACGCGAGTCAGCCCCGCCAGGGCGCTGCGCTCTGCCCTCCTGCTGGGGCGCTGGGAACAGCCAGACTGCCGGGGGTGACAGGACCCTCTGAAGCATCCAAGGACTTAACCCGGCATGCACGGACAGCAAACAGGTGTAAATGAGGCGTGGAAAGGTGTCTGAGTGTACACCAGACATCAGCAACGAAACAGGTTAGGTCTGTGGCTTTGTGCTCCCAGTTCAAAAAGCAAAAACAACCCTTTTGGTCTTTACATACATTTTTACTTTCGGTTCCTTGTCTCACTGCCCAGTTCCGTTAAGAGACAAGCTGCAAGAGGAAAATTGTAGTTGTATCCACTAGACTGTACAGGAGAGGTGACTAGCAGGCTTTAGTGTAGCTGTAACTGCTGGATTATACACATGGGGGTCTAGGCACACACAATTACTTCAAGCAGTAGTTACACTGTTCCCGTCACATCACCGTTTTGTCTACCATGGCTCATTTTATTTTAGATGGCTTCAGTTTTCTCCCCTGTATCATCACACTTTCCAGCTGGCTGCTGAACACTAAGAGATACTGACTTCTGCACATGGCATACTTCAGAATTTAATCATCCTTTAATCATCCTGCCTTTAAGTTTTTTGCTAGCTTGCTCTTTTCCTCTCACTAACTCTGCTTGCTCTCACATAGATACAAACATACAAAGCAAAGATTAAAAATAAAAATGAGCAGTATTTAGACATTGCTTTAAGGTAGAGTTGCTGTAAGTAGTGGGACACGCAAGACATTGGTTGGTCAGGACAGTGTTCCAGCAGCTATTGCAAAAATTGCAGAGAAAATCAGCACACTGTTTAACTCAGATGTTTAGCACAGAAATGCCATTTGAAGTTTTTGAGCACTACATTCATGCTGCAACTATGGCCCAAGTTACAAGCTCATAACAAAACCTCAGAGGCTTCCTTGAATGATATTGACAGTGATCTTTCCTACTGGGGGAGTGTCTCAAAAGCAGCTTTAGTAGTTTACAGTGGGTAATAGCCCACTGCTTTTATCTGCCATAGTTTATTTATCCATCTGCTGTCAACAGGAGCATCTATCACAACTCTCAGCTGCTTTGAGTTTTGTATTGTGTATTCGTTAGCACAAACAAGCCTGTGCTACACTCCTGGAGGAGTTCCTCCACCAAAGTGGGAAAAGCTGTGGCAAAACCTCTTGATTGTAAAAGACTGATAAAGAATTGAAAGCAACCAGCCAAATTTTTTATCTGAATTCATCTGGAGTAATTTTGGAGAAACACCAGGCTTACATTCAGGGAACTGCCATCAGGCTCTAGGCCAGTTCATTTAATGGTCCGGATAGCACAGGTGCCAACAATACAATCCCATGAGATTGACTTATTCTTACCCAAATCTGAACGGGGTGGTCCAGAGCAGAAGAGATGGCTGTGGCTGATGTGTGCAAACGTAGCGGTGCCAGACCCATTTCTGTAGGTCCAAATCATTAGGCTACTAGTGATGGGCCTAGCAGTAGGGTAAAGAACTGCCTGGGTGTTGCATGACTGATCTGCACCGTCCTGGGGAGGGTGGAGAACCCTTGGCTCTGGGAAAGCAGCAGCACAAGGCGTGATGGCCCTGAGCTCTCGTTCTTCTGATATGTCTTCTACCTTCTGGTCCCAGGAGCAGTAGGAACCCCTAGTTTGTTGTGCTGCTAGTTTTGCCAGCTTCTCTAATAATTTCTCCTAAGAAGTAAAATCACACTAACAGTCCTAATTACAGAAGCTATGCTGGGCCAGCCAGATCAATCCCAACTCCTGCATGGGGTTGTATTAGTCTGACTATCCAGTCTGGCTTTATCCAATTACCAAATGTACCCTGAATTCAAATCACTAGCAGAGCTCTGTGTAATAGTGCTTAAAATACATCAGCACAGTAGGTCTTCCCAGGTTACATCACTTCACAGCCTTCTAAATTTTTTATCTTGGCAAACAAACAAGTTTTGTGACTTGGAAAGTAACAAAATTACAATGAGACTAATTACAATGGTAATTAGTTTGGCTGTAATGAAAAGATGTGTGGACAACTAGCTCTAGTTGAAAGAGAGTTTTACAAGCCTTGGGAGTGGTTGTGCTTTGTGCTGAGTTGCAGCTGAAGTCAAGACCTGAAGAAAACTGCTCTATGAAGACTGATCAGAAGGAGAGGAGGAAGCAGGAATCACTTGAGTCACTATATGTCTCCATGCTTCAGTTGTCTTTACTGTTCACTTTTGTTTGGCTTCCTGCTCTAGATTTTCAGGAAAGTGTGCCAAAATGTACATCCTCATTGCGATAGTCATAGTTCATTTCAGTTCACTGAACTACCCAAGCTCATGCTACACTGAACTAGGCCCTTTACAAACTATGGTAAGGGTAGTCAGAATCTTCTACACCGTTTTTAACTAAATTATCCTGAAAGATTTTCAGTACCCAGGCCTTGTTTCCATGCTCAGTGAAACCTGTGCAGGGACTGAACATATCGTTATGCCTGATTCAACAATGAACATGCAATCTGGAGTCTGTGCCAGCTTTGTGTCAGCTGTGATGGGACAGACAATACCTGATCCTCCATGCAATGTGAGTGCTAATCTGGCATAAAAAGCCAGCTACAATGCTAAGCAGTCACACTCTTTACAGGAAATTTGCATTGCCAGTGTGAGCATCTGCCACAGCAGCACGTCCTATCTCATGGCTGCAAACTGTGCTGCAGTGCTGGCAGCTCAGGAGTTGCTCACTGTCTTACCAAACCGCCATCCTGAGAACTCCAGAAATTACTGTCAGAACTAAACATAGATGTAAATTATTAATTGCCTAGGAACTAGATGATGGGTAACTTGCTGGCAATACATTTGTATTTTCTAATTACATAGTTTTAAACATCCTCCTTATAAATTTCACTGCACTTACTTCACAACTGTGCAGGAAAAGCTGGGTGGATTTTTTTTCCCCCCCACCAAAACCTTATGTGTGGCTTGACTGAAGCTATCACTGAATTCATGCTGAATTTATCAAATTAGCATTTTATTTCCCCAAACAATAAAATATATTATTCTGACATTTTCAAACCAAAGCATTCATTTTTTTTAGTTTGTAATAACACTGCAAGAGTAAGGTTATTTCACTTTTTAAGTGAATTGGAAGTAAAATATTAATCAAAGGATTAGATAAAATCAGACCCATCATAGTTGTATGATACAAATATATCTTTAAAGCTCTAGGTAGTCTTAAAGATTCCTTTAGCTATACTGACAGTGTCAAGGCTCTCAAGATTGTAGGTCACATATTATTGCACTTAATCAGATAAGTGAAAAAGGTACCAGAAAACTGGGCTTAAAACTCAATAGGCCACACTCGCTGCTGAGGTAACTCTAGCACTGCTTATGCTCTACAATGAGCATAACTTACTGTGTCCTGTAAATACAATCAAAACTCTGCAAAAGGAAGCTGACACACCATCTTATCTCCTCCCTCTTACAAAGTATAGCTATTCCAGGCACTGACACAGTAAATTAGGTATGGCTTTAAGCATTTCCTGAATTGGAAATATAATACTCTTCTTCTATTTTCTCTGGAGTTGTGGAGAAAGAACACAGAACAATAATTCAAGCTTTTGGAGCTTTGTTTCTGTCACAGTGTATGTTCTCTCTTTTGCAAGTTTGTGCTGGAAAACTAATCCACAGAAAATAAGAGGATTTTCTTCCCCCTAGTTATGAGAAAGTGATTGTTTTTATTCCTTCCGTGAAAACAAAAAGCACCAACATACTTCAGATATCAGATGGTGTATGTAGGTACTATATTATTATCTAAAACAGTTACATATATTGATTAAATGGTATATTTAATCTTTAGCTACTGTAATAATTTCACCTTTTCTAGTGGGCTACACTCTTATTCAAATCAGTGGCTGCAGCTCATTTGTATTCTCCAGAGCCTTTGCCTCTCCCTTGACACCCAAAGATGTCCCCCACCCTGCTAAGTCAGCTGGGCAACCCAGGATGATAGCTACTTTGTGTCTGGGCACAGCAACATGGACAAACCAGCAAAAAAAATCTATCCAGTGTTTTGTCATTCCTTCAATATATTCTCATCCCCAGTGCCTTTTGGGATAAGTACTGGTTTGTTTAGCCACTGTCTTTTTTATTAAAAAGTGTACAGATTTACAGGTGTCAGTCCAAGCATCCAGCAAAGGAGCCAAGAGGGTTTGTTCATCCACTTGTCAGTCTTACCTTATACATAAATAGGAAGGTTGCATGAATAATGTAATATAAACAAAGAGAAAAATTAGCATGTTGGTTTGTGCAGTGGAACAGTAAGCCACCTCATCAGGCAATAGACATGTAGAGGAATACAAGTTAATTTTTCCTAAGCTGTGCTAGTAGAAGAGAGGACTCACCTCAAGCATCCCTTATGTACCCGCCAAACATGACAGATGTGATTTGCAGTGTCAGAGCTGACCTCACTCTTCTTCTGTTTGCAGTAAGGGAAATAATTTGCACAGAATTTAGCTTAATCTGTATAATTAATGTTGAGCACACCTGAAAAATCCACACTAAATGCAAACTGAATACAAAGGAACCAAATGACTACAGAATGTCTGTCTGGCTGGATTGCCAGTTTGTTAGTAGACCATAAAAATTCAGAGCAAATAAGCTGGTATATTCTTACTGATGCTGCACAGCATCTCAATGCTAACAATTTATCTCTAAAGGCTCAAGCAAAAATACCAGAGTACAGTTTGTAGATATTTACCAGAAGAACAAGGCAAACTTAGAGAAGTTTTTCAAGGATTTTACATCTCACAGGGCTCCAAATGGACCACTAGAATTGTTTTATGGAAACTTCACTAATAATTCATCAAAAACATCTTTGCAAGGTTGGGTTTTTATGTGCTTGAAACACTAGTTTATAAAAAAGATCCAGATCAACCAACGGGAATGATTATTCCTGGACCTTTGTTACTAGAACCTTTTTATTATATTATTTCTTACAAATAAGAAAGTAATTTTTGGAGCAGGGCCATCCTTTGATCAGGTGCAGAGCAGATGTACTATTTCATTAATTTCCCAGCTAACAGTAGATACTGTTTGGCCTTCATCATTCCAGAATATGGAATTCAGGTATCAAACTGCATGCTGATCAGCACTACTGCAAAGCACTTTTTGTGCTAGTGCTGCCTCCTTACACTCTGACTTCTGTTACAGTGCTGAGGGAGTCTCTCCTTGAAGGGGGACAGGCTATAACTTGGGAATTTACAAACATAAATTGTACATTGTAAAAAAACTATTTTGTTCGCTAACCTACTTCATAAAAGACCAGAATAAATACAGCTGCAAAAGCTCAGGAGCTTCCCTGGTGGGTGAGATCTGTACCAAGACAGCTAAATTAAATAGAAGAACTTCAAGCAAATGAGGATAGTTGAATAATATCAATTAGAATTCCCAGGCTTTAAAAAAAACAAAACACACTACAAAACAAAACACCAAGATTTTTTTCCAAAACAATGGCATTTTCTTGGAAAGGATACTCCATAGGGAAAAAAAATATATATTGGTATAACTTTATGTTAAATATAGTCTTTTAACTAACATGCTTATCACTGTCATTATTTGCTATTGTTTAGGAATAAAAGGGATTTTCATTTACTAAAACCCCAAGTAATTAAATCTCAGGAAGAAAATGCTTCAAGAAATGCTTCTAGAAATAAGAACTCATCACAGAAACAAATGAAATAAAGCAAACCACAATGTTCTCATTTCTAACTATGCATTCTACCAGAAGATGAAGATCCAGCTGGCTGGGACCCAAAGTACTGGCAGAGGGGAGTAAGAAAGGGAGTCAAAGTGACACAGTTAAATGTAAGGTAAAAAAATATCTTTCTTTATCCTGTTGCACCTTCCAGTGGATTAGATCACCAAGTACAACATGTTTTGTTCTGCCCTTAGGGGCAGACAGGGGATAGAGGGAAATGCACTGACATTATTCCAGCTGAACCCAACTTACTTGAGTGAGGCCAGTGCTCTCCAGTGTCACCACAAATTCAGGTTCTTCAATGTTTTTCTTTGGAGCTCAGTTTCTGCTGCTCATGAAATGTCGTGGCTTTGATTCAGAGCAGAAGAGAAGTTGCAGAAATAGAGGTGGGTTGGATTGTACCTCACTGGCTCAATTATGGAGCAAAACTTTCCTGCATCAAAGTTGCACCATAACAAGCTTTTTCAGAGAAAAGCAGGCAGCATGCTGCAGCTGTGCAATTTCAAACAAAACACCTCTTCACACAAGCTGTGGCTAAGCAGAGCCAGACACATGCAGCTGCACTATGTCCCAAAATATAACCCCACCCCTCCAATTTGCCCATCTTCAAATTAATGCCACTTCTTTAAAGTACATTAACTACCCTATGTTGTATTTTTAAAGTTCACTAAAGCACAGGTTTGGACTGGGACAGGATGGGTGCAGTTCTACTATTCTTATGAAAATGTTGTGTAATTTCTAGCTTAAATGTACACTGTAAGGCAAAATAAAGACTCATGTTATTTTGGGTTATATGTTATGTCTTCTGCTGAAGAGGTGTTTAGATCCCATTTAAAGTTGGTCAGAAGGTGAAATTACAATACAGCAGCTGTAATCCTCAGATAGTTGCAATATAAAGGTAT